TTTCATGTGAAACTGTTAAACTTATAGACCAAGTTCAAAATCTTCTGATGTAGTTTGAAATTTGATACTATGTCTCTTGCTCAGAGGTGTCCAATCTTTTGGCTTCTCTTGTCCACGTTGGAAGAATTATTGTCTTTGGCCACACATAAAATATACTAACATGAGCACCGAGCAAGATGGCAGCCCCTGAGCCAATAGGGTATGATTTCTATTTGATTACCTACCACCAACTATCCAATAGTGTACAGCCTTCTTGCTTCTGGTCGACTTGAGCAGATGCCAAGTCATCATAGATCTAATTACTCTCATTCGCCAGAGCTTTGGCTTCAGTACTGAGGCCTTTACCTGGAGTGGGGACTCCTGTCTCACCTGTGAGTGCACACCTGGTGAGAGACAACGACTGCCTCAGAGTTAAATTAGAAGAGAGAGGAGTTGTTGGAAATTCTGTAGTTATTGGTGATGGTGACGGCTCATTTATCACTTAGAAAAGCAAAGAAACAGGCATTTAAGTTAGAGGAGGATAAAGAAACTGAACCAGATTACAAATATTAAAAGAAGTATTGGAAGAGGAAAGAGAACAATAACGACAATGAGAAAGTCTTGGATCTGGAACCAAAAGCTGTCACAGATCAGACTGTCAGGGGAAAAAAAAGAGAGAAAGAAACAAAGCAACCTGTGACACAGTGGGTGATGATAATGAAGAGACCAAAAGAAAATCACCAAAGAAAAAGGAGAAATATGAATATGAAAAAAAAAAAAGGCCAGGAATCCCAAGTCTTCTAAAGTACAGGCAGTAAAAGACTGGGCCAGTCAGAGTTGTAGTTCTCCAAAAGGCTCTGCTAAAAACAGCGTTGTTAAAGCCAAAAGGAAAGGTGGTGTAAGCATTCAGTCAAAGGAGAGTCCCAGTTCCTCCTTGGAGTCTGAGTCTTATCATGAATCAATAGTGATGGTCCCAGCAAAGTCACTTTAGAGGCCAGAAATTCCTCAGAAAAATTACCAACTGAGTTATCAAAAGAAGGACCCTCTACCAAAAATACAACTGCAGACAAACTGGCTACAAAACCTGGCTTTAGCCTTACCCCCAGCAAAGGGAAGACCTCTGGAACATCATCTTCTAGTTCAGATTCTGATTCAGAGTCAGATGACCAATGCTTGATGTCATCGAGCTCCCCGGAGTGTGCTGCGGGTTTCTTAAAGACAGGAGGCCTTTTTGCAGGAAGAGGTTGTCCAGGCCCAGGGCTGTCATCATAGACTGCAGGTGCTGCTGGATGGAAGCGTTCTGGCTCAAAAGGTGGTAGACAAGTTCCTGGTCCTTTTCCCAATGTGTCTGTCCCCACTAGTTTAGGAAGGGGATGGGGTAGAGGAGAAAACCTTTTTTCTTGGAAGGGAGCTAAGGGACGGAGCATGTGGGGGAGAGGTCAAGGACGAGGGCATCCTGTCTCTTGTGTTGTAAATAGAAGCACTGACAACCAGAGGCAACAGCAATTAAACGAAGTGGTAAAAGATTTATCTACTGTTATCCAGAATCCGGTAGAGACGCACAAGAAGGACTATGGTCTGTTACCACTGTTTGCAGCTGCCCCTAATGTTGGAGAAAAGATTGCACTTAAGCTTTTGGAACTAACATCCAGTTACTCTCCTGATTTCTCTGACTACAAGGAAGCAAAAATATTAAGCTGCAATCCAGAGACCCAACAAGTAGATATAGAAATTATTTGATCCTTACCTGCCTTGAGAGAATCTGGGAAATTTGATTTGGTATCACAATGAAAGTAGAACTAAGGTAGTGGACTACTCTGAGATGCAGGAGAGCAAGATCACTGTATTTTGGAGAGAGCCGATTGATCCAAGACTGATTATTGAATCTCCGAGTAACACATCAAGTACAGAACCTGTCTGAGTGTGACCTCTCCACCTTATAGTTTAGGAATGTCTTGTTTGTGAAAGTGACTATAACCTGAACTCTTTATTACCAGAGGATTTGAAACTTGCAGGGTTTTTTTTGTTATCTTTATTTTACTGTGTAGGAAACAGTCTACCTCATCATTTAAAATGACATGGGTGTTGGTTTTGTAGACCTTTGTTTTTTTTGTCACGTTTAATTTCAGTTAACAAAATGTAAAATATGACATTCCCTGCAGACGTTGTTGTATACCAATATGTATGATTTCTTCTCTTTTTAAAATGTTTTTGACCATGAAGTAGCAGTCGTCAGTAGTTTATAATACCAAGAATGTGCTGCATATCTTGTCTCAGTAAGTTTTAAGTAACATTTAAAAATACTAATGCATGTTACTTGATTGAAATTTTTTAGCATTTGAGTTGTTCCATTAAATGGAGCATCTTGTAAATTTCAAGTATTTTATACTTGCCCTTGTTAAGAGTTAAAAGGTAGTTGGATTTGTCGCAGACAATGAGTTAAGGAATCCTTTCACGTTTTTTCCAGCTTTATTTTGTTTTATTTTATTTTTGAGATGGAGTCTTGCACTGTCACCCAGGCTGAAGTGCAGTGGCGTGATCTCGGCTCACTGCAATCTCTGCCTCATGAGTTCACGCAATTCTTCTGCCTCAGCCTCCCAAGTAGCTGGGACTACAGGTGTGCGCCACCTTACCCAGCTAATTTTTTTTTTTAATTTTTCGTAGAGATGGGGTTTTACTATGTTGGCCAGGATGGTCTCAATCTCCTGAACTTGTGATCCGCCTGCCTTGTCTTCCCAAAGTGCTGGGATTACAGGTGTGAGCCACCGCACGCAGACCCAAATTTAAAATTAAGGATTCTCAAGGCCCTTTGTAGAGCAGTAAAAATAAGACAGTAACAATAAGGAGTGTGTGTGTGTGTGTGTGTGTGTGTGTGTGTGTCTGTCTGTCTGTCTGGAGGAGAATTGGTGTTCCACTTGGGGAATTAGCTGTGAGCTTCAGACCAGGAAATGTGTCATCTTGCTGAGCACCTGGCTGAGTATGCTGGAGTGAGGATCTTGAAAAGAAACTTCCTTTTCTGTTATTCGCTACAAAGCTAAAATGGCCAAATATATGCTGTGAAAATTGTTTTTTTTTTTTTAACAAAATATCATATCCCTCCTTCAGCTGTACACATTTTAAAATTATATTGAACTAAAAAAAAATACACTAACTTGAACGATAGCTGATGAGCTAAAAAAAATGCAAGAAAATCTCAGTGTTTTAACAAACTTTACGAATCTGTGTTGGGCCGCAGGTTGGACAAGCTTGGTCTAGCTTAAGTTTTATGAATTACTTGTACAATACAATTGAATTGATTTCTATAGTATTTTTAAGAGTGAAACTGGTTTTTTAAGTTTGTGCTGTACTTACGTTATAAAGCAATATGAGTAATGTACTTTATATGTGAGACCTTATGTGCTCTAAGAAATACTTTTATTAAGAAGGAGTTATGCTTGTGATGGAGTATTCGTTACAACATGGGGTCTGTACATACTTGCAAAGAAATAGAGAATGCATCTCTCCGTCCCCAGATAATCTTTCCATTAATATGGATGAATTAATCATCACATAGTCCGTATTTGTCTACTGCAAATCCATTGCTCCCTTATGTATTATGTTCCTCAGTTCCTAAACATGTTCCCTTCTTTCTATTCATGTAACTTCTAATTACTCATTTTTCTAAATCTGAATCACGAATATTACGTTGATTCCATTTTCTTTTTCACCACCCCTCTCCAAATGTAGTTTTAACTTTTTCCTGTTTCTTCTTCTGCTCTCAGAACCCACAACTTGAGCTCTGAATTATCTTTCCAGTGAATTTTCGTTATCTGCATGTTTACTCTAGTTCAAGCTTTTTCCTTCTTCTGATATTTATGTCATTAATTGATCTCTCTAATGAATCTTGTCAGAGGAGTCCTCCAGAAGGACATATCAGATCATATTGCCTTTTAAATTAAAAATCCTTCAAAGACTTCCAAGTATGTACAAAGAGTTATCTTGAATTCCTTCATCTGGTCTTCAGGGCGCCATGCCATATGACTTCAACTTTTCTTTATTTCCTTCCCTCCAATATTTTTTCTCATATCCTTTTTATACTTCTTACCCTCTGAGCCTTCTGTCATTTTTTGGCCTATACCTAGCCATTTCCCTGTTGTTGCATTTCCGAATCTCATCTATCCTTTTACTTTCAAGATGCAGTCTCACACTGTCGCCCAGGCTGTAGCGCGGTGGCCCGATCTCGGCTCATTGCAGTCTCTGCCTCATGAGTTCAAGCAATTCTCCTGCTTCAGCCTCAGGGTTGGCTTTCAGGTTTGTTTTCCAGCTAGAAGTAATCTTTTCTTCTTGGGAACTCCCAAAGGCCTTTTTTGTTTGTTATGTACTTAGTATCCTTTCTGTTGTACGGTGGTTGTTCATGATTACTGGTAGTTACAGTTGTTAAGTTCTTCAACGTGTGGATTCCTGTGTCATTCTTCTATTTCTTGTGTATGTTTTCTGGTATGCATATATTCTTAAGACATGTTATATAAAGAGATGTCTTGTTCTGGGGGTATTTCTTAGTTGAGAAAAATAAAATCTTGGAGATATTTTATTTATATGCCAAAGAAAAAAGTGATTGTGTTCCATAAATATCTACAAAAATATACTTGGAAGTAGTTTTGCTAAAAAAAGAAGTGTAAGAAATTAGATATATAGATGAGACCTTGGATGACTGACTCAAACCACTTTCAGACAGATGAAACCTAACTTCGAAATCTTTCTAGAAGGTTAGACTTAACGGTATGTTCAGTTGTTTAAATGGTTATTTATACAAGACTTACAAACAGATTTTGTTTTAGTATTTTTACATTATTCAGTTAACATTTTATGTACTCCTAATTTACTTCTGGATATTCTTGGAATTTTTTAAAGGATTTTCCTGATTCTTAAATGGTTATATTCTTTTTTTTGCAAGTTTTCTGTTAATGATATGTTTTATTTTTTTTTTTAGTAATCTGTTTGTCCTGGCAAAACTTACGTTTGGAAAATGTCCTATTTTTCAGGTATCCTGGTCAGATATAGGAGGACTGGAAAATATCAAACTGAAGTTGAAACAAGCTGTGGAATGGCCCTTAAAACACCCAGAGTCGTTCATTCGAATGGGTATTCAGCCACCTAAAGGAGTTCTTCTGTATGGGCCACCTGGGTGTTCTAAAACAATGATAGCAAAGGCGTTGGCCAATGAGAGTGGACTGAATTTTCTAGCTATAAAGGTAGGATGTTAAATTTTTTAACGGCTACTCTTTCTCTTGGCCTCTGCTGACTCCCATCCTCTGACTCCTGTCTTTAAGAGAACGAATAAAGGTATCTTAAGGAGCAGTGATACTTTTTAAAAATTTGTTGTTGATGGCAATATAATATAGGGAGATGAGAGATAAGAAATAAATTAGTGCATGTAATCAGCAAATCATGGTGGACCTTCTGAAGACTGCTTTATTTAGTTGCTTGATCCTGATATTTCTTATATCCATGTGTAAAAGAAAACAATCTTTTTTTTTTGTTTCTACATTTTTAATTATAGACTTTTGCTTAATCAGGACTTAACAGATAAATATGATAGTGAATTCAATATTTACATACCTAGAATTTTCAAATGAGTAAGACACTTGTTATGGTACACTAAATTCTTTAAAAATACGTTTCCAGTCAGAAAGTATATGTGCATTGGTTTTTATTCTGAACCACATACACGTTTTATTTGCTCATTGCTCTGCCCCCATTAACTGGGATAGATAATCTTTCTTGATATGTAGTTGTACATTTACTTTAGGACCAGATATTTTATATAGCATTATGATATATCCAGGTACTTAATCCACAAAATCTTAAATCCATTTCTGTGGACTAGATCACAAGAGTATGTACCTAGATAGGTTAACTATCACTTCATTTCAGAAAAGGTACATTTCAGAAAAGGTACATCATCTATTCTGGTATTATCAGGGAATTTTTTTGCATAACAGTGCATTTTCTATCTTAGAACATTGAAATCATTGGTAGTTTCTAAGCATAAAACTTACTTCAGAGTAATTAGTCAACTTTTAGCCTTAAGATTTATATGGAATGATACTTAGGTGTGATTAAGCTGTTTGTTCTTTAAGAGTCAGTATCTTCAACATACTTTCTATTATATTCTAGAAGATATTAGAGCATAAAGATGGGGGAAGAAGACTATTTACAGCATGATCACAACTACCTTTTTAAAGGTTGCAGGTTTATTTGTTATTGTTTTTGAGGCACGATCTCACTCTATGGCTCAGGCTGAAGTGTAGTGGCATGATTATAGCTCACTGTAACCTCAAATTCTTGGGCCCAGGTTACCCTCCTGCCTCAGCCTCCTGAGCAGCTAGGATTATAGGTGGTGTGTGCCATCACACCAGCTAACTTTTTAACATTTTTGTGGAGACAGGGTCTCACTTTGCTGCTCAGGCTAGTCTCAAATTCCTGGCCTCAAGCAGCCCTCTCACCTTAGCATTCCAAAGTGCTGGGATTGTAGGAGTGAGCTACTGCACACAGCCAAGGTTGCAGTTTTAAGGGTTGAGGTAATGAGTGATTTTGAAATTTTCTCGGACATCTTGATTTCTACTTGGTCCTTTCCTTTTATCTTGTTGTAATGGGGATGGCTGTTTACTGGCATTTTCTAGTCTTTTTACTGTCATCTCCATTTTTCTGGTTTTACCTTGTATATTCTACAGTTGTATTTTCATAGTATTCGAAATTTTCTTGTCTACTGGGAGTCTAAAACTTATTTGAGAATGTGTGAGCCAAGTTCTTATCAAATAAGTTTTAGGCTTGACTCTCAAGAGCACACTTATTTTCTTACAAACTAATATCTTCATTTTTTGGTGATCCATGGTAATGATTCAGATGCTACTAAAGCTGCTCTCTGGACTATCCTAGAATTACTTAGAAATATATTTATTATCTTTTTTGAACATAACCATTTCATAACCTTAGACAATTTCACTTTTAGTCTTTTATTCACTATGAGGAAATTGTAAGTGATTCTTTAAAAGGTTTAAATTGTACACTGTTCGTATAAAATAACCAATCAGGCATTCATTTATTTAAGCTTTTTCATTAGCTTTTACATCAGAGACAGAAAAGCTACGTGATCTTAACAAATTATCTTGATCAGTTGAGTTCGGAACTCAGAAATTATGTGTTCTAGTTACTAATTTTTATTTAGTGTGGATTTTTATTCAGTTTAGAATTTAGTGTAGTTCAACAATATTATTCAGTTTTTGAATCTGTGTGGAGGAGATACTTAATGAATGATGGTTTTTTAATTTTCAGATCGAATATCCCTTATCGAAATGTTTTGGACCTGAAGTGTTTAGATTTTGACTTTTCTTGCATTTTGAAATATTTGCATTATACGTCCCAGTTGAGCATCCCTAATCTGAAAATTTGAAATCCAAAATGGTGAAGTGAGCGTTTTCTTTGAATCAAAACGTTTTGAATTTTGGATTGTTAGATTTAGGGAGACTCAGCATGTGCTATTATTTCAACTTTCCTATATGTTTAAATTTTTTAAAATACAAAGTTGGGAACATGAAAGTGATTTACCTTCTGCTAGCATTTTCATTGGTCCTTTTTTCATCTATTCAATGTTTGTGAGGGAAGTTTTAAAGTAGCAATACTGTACAGCTTATGTATGAGAAAATGAAGCCAAAGAAGTTGGGAATTCATATTCTATTCTCTTTTTATTGAGACAGAGTCTTGCTCTGTCACCCATGCTGGAGTGCAGTGGCAAGATCTTGGCTCACTGCAATCCGCATCTCCCGGGTTCAAGTAATTCTCATGCCTCAGCCTCCCAAGCAGTTGGGATTAGAGGCACGCACCACCGCATTCGACTAATTGTTTGTATTTTTAGTAGAGACAGAGTTTCACCATGTTGCCCAGGCTGGTCTCGAACTCCTGAGCTCAGGCAGTTGCCTGCCTTGCCCTCCTAAAGTGCTAGGATTACAGGCATGAGTCACCGTGCCAGGTCCTGTTTTTAATTTTAACTCCCTATGCAAAAAAAAAGTTGGCAACATTTGTTCAACTTACATGTTTAGTTTCAACCTATATATTTGTTTCCTACAGGATATAAATGTTACAATTTAGTTTGAGATTTTGAAAGAGCAAGTCTTACACATTTTGAAAGTGATCAGAAAAAAATAGACATATACTGGAATTCTCTAGCCAGTTAGGAAACCCAGGTGTTAGATACTTTGAAAGGAAAAACTCCTTATCACTTTTCACAATGGTAATTACTTTTGATCTTCCAGATATTTTGATAGGTTTTAATTTCTTTCTCTAAGTTTATGAAAGAACCTTTTAGCTTCCCTTATGCACCTTTTCTCAACAGGGATTAAAAGATATGTACTGTACTCAGAGTAGAGATTTCATCTTGGCTTGTGTGGGCTCTTATTACCCTGTGGCATATATATGTGTTTTTGTGTAGACTGTGACATTTGACATATTGTGTAAGTTTAGTTTGTTATCTGGGTCAATTACATAAATAGTTTCCAGTTGAAATTTCCTCTCTGCTTCTGTCTTGCTTTTGTCTGGAGTGCTAGAATAGATTAATTGCCTTGGGATAGCTGCATTGCTTTACCATATGAAGAACTGTCACTGATTCTGGACGAAGGGTGGTTAGGCCTCTGACAGGGCTTTTCAGCAAATCCTTTATTAATTATTAATTATACTGGTGAATACAGGAATGTAATGAGCTTAGTATATCATTGACTTTTTGGGAAATTTTCTTCTCTATACTTGTCTCAGAGAGGAATTGAATAAAATAGATTTCTCTTCCAGAAAAACTTGTGGTTTATTCAAAGTAGTGCACAATTCAAATTAAATTAGGTGGTCCCCAATTTAAGATAGATTTACTTAACAAGTTTTTGACTTTAAGATGGTGTGAAAGTGATATGGATTCTGTGGAAATCATACTTCAAACTTTAATCTTTTACTGAGCTAGTGATATGCAGGACAGTATTCCCTTATGATGCTGGGCAGTGACAGTGAGCCACAGCTCCCGGTCAGCCGCATGATCACACAGCCAGCACTCTACAGTGTACTGTGATGCCAGATGATTTTGATCAGCTGTAGGCCAGTGTAAGCATTCTGAGCATGTTTAAGGTGAGCTAAGCTAAAATATGATGTTCAATAGGTTAGGTGTATTAGATGCTTTTCAACTTAGTATATTTTCAATTTGAGATGAGTTTATCAGGACATAACCCCATTGTAAATTGAGGAGCATCTGTAATTACTGTTCGTTATTTAACTAGATATATTAATATTCTCTTATCAAAGGTACAAGATAATCTGAAATTTAAAAATTCCAAGTTCATCTTAGGCTTCTGTTTTTAACTTTTGTAGACTATTCTGCAAATCATAAAGCTTTTGTACACATATTGCATGGAAAACTGCATAGCTACCTCTTTTAATTACAGAATGCTTTAAGATTACAAATAGGGATAATGATTTTAAGAAAGTTAAGTGACTTTTCCATGGTCTAAGTGGTGGTGATGGCACTGAAGCTTAGTCTCATAACTCTCTGACTCAAGAGTCTGAGCTCTTAACCACTGTATTATACGCTCTTCCATTTTCCTTTTTGTTTTTTTAAAAAATAAAACTAGTGTCCAGTGGCTTTTTTCATTACACAAAGTTACCAGGGAAGGTAGTTTAAGTAGTTTCTGTAGGGTAGCTTCAGAGAAGTGGAAAGATGTTTCTGGGAGCTGGTTCGAAAAATAATTTTGTTTCTCTAGGACAAAGAAAACAGAAAAATAACATGGCTTTGGTCTAGGAGTATAAGTTGGTTGAGTTGATAGAAAAGGGCAATCATGGCCAAAGATGCAGGAAACTTGAATGAAATAGAAGTGCCTGGAAAAAGACTGATGGTAGGATAATGTGGAGCTTAAAATTTACTTACATAATTTGTGCCCTTGATATTGAGTACGTCATGATGAAAAGAACACTAAGCTGGGATTCACGTAGCTTGGATTTACTTCCTAACCTTACCACTTTTTAGCTTTGCAACCTTAACCAAGTTTTGTAAGTCTCATTTTTTTTCATCTAGAAAAGTATGATAACATTTGTACATTTATAAGCTTTGGAGGGCATTAAATTTAAAAAGGAAAATGAAAAAGTTTTAGGGGGCATAACACTCCATCCTTGAGTATGGGCTTCTTTCCAAAGAACTTAATATGGAAAGAGGGGAGGGGAA